CAGTTGTACGAAACCCTTAAAAAACATGTTGCTGTTGTTTTGATGCGTAGCTGGTAGCAGGTGTGTAAGCAAATGATCGCTCCTTACCGTCCGTGTTAGTGACGTATTCCACTTTCCCTGTTGTTGACTTAGTGTTTGTACAATCTATTCCTATTATTATTACTGGCAAGTGTAACAGTAAGGATTACGATCAGTTAACTTTTCCAACAGTAGTTCCAAAGCGAGTGGTGTTTACTAAATACAAGCGGAAAGTTGCGCTAGCCTTCCATCCATATCTTGTCTCTCGTAAGACTTCGGTAGTATAGTTGTGAGTATCCTCGCTTGTCACGCGGGAGACCGGATTTCCTTTCCGATAAAGCTCCTCCAATCGAAAAGTCGGTGCTTAATCTGAATAAAATATCTATCCGAGACATTTATATCCCTTTTTCTTCCCAGAGCAAAAGCAAATCCTAATTATGCAGATTCCACCGCTGGCCAGAAGATTAGGTGGCTACAGTTTTGTACGGTGCAGAGCTTACTCTGCTGTACTTTTAAATCAAGTGTCACCTTGGGCAAATATAACCCGAGTTTCTTCAAGTGACTGGTCAAAACACACAGGAAGATGCTGAAGGACGATAGAAATATGGGGATGAAGAAGTGACTCCTTACTTCTCGGTTGTCCCTCCGCTTACCAACAAAGATAAATGGACACGAAATTTTGCGGGCAAATTTCCCTGATTGGGTACATTAAGCTATAGTGGCAATGTTAAGCCGCATAAAGAATGAAATTATGTACATGCATTTTGATAGCGTTCATGGAAATTATATGATTTCTGCTCAAGTATATTTTCCTAAAAAAAAATTTGACCAAGACTGAGCATTTGTAATTATATGCCACAACAAATTATCTATCCGCAAGTTCCAAAGTGTTCATGCTTAACTTTTAAAAGATTTCGGGTTGATTATAGCGACGACGTTGGTCACTTCATGACCAATTTCACAAGGCTGGTATACTTATCAGTTGGGATAACGATCAATTAACATTTTGTCTTTCCATGTATCTTCTGTTAAGTTTGATGTCAGCGTGTGGTTTAAAGCTTCAACAATTCGGTTATCGTTGATTTTACAGGTTGTGAACGAATATAATTTGTTTTTGTCCACTTTTCTTCTCACTTCGCAGAAGAATAAAGAAACGCCAACGACCACTTTTTTGGAATTATTTACTGTGCACAAGGAGAATTTTGGTAGTCAAGTGTAACTGATGAGGTACATTGTGATGGAATTTCATAACATATAAGGAAAAAAACAGTTTCATAGATGAGGGAAAAAATTGGTTAGGGGTCGAACTCACGCACCATTCTCTGCTGACTGAGCTTAAAGACGTCGCATACCTTTGCCCATTATTGCTGTTAGCGGTAATTTTTTGCCTTTTAGCTTTACTTTTTCCCGGAGATTTAAATGAGTTAGAGTTGTTTATATCCAAAGCTGAAGAGCCGGTGTAAGGCAAGGAGCTGAGTCAAAAGTTTTAACTGGACTATCTTTAATCTTTTACTCGCTCTGATTCCAATTTTCTGATTCTTCTTTTGAATAACTTGCTATTCTGAATGACACTAATAATTGCCCTGCGTTTATTGAAGCTTATGGTCTTTTTTTTTTAATTTACGTATTTCTTCCATTGGGTTGCACAGGAGGCTTTTGTTTTAAATTTGTGGCGATAAATTGTCAACACTTGATGTGTAGGGAACACTAATTGTGACAAAGAGTAATATCCTATTTTAGGATAAAAATACTAAAATCTAAATGGAGAATTCAGGCATCCATCCTGGTACCCCCCATATGCTATGTGGGCGCTCAACGATTTGAGCCAATTGCCCAACCCGTTAATCACATGGTTTACCATTGTTCCTGTAGATATTTTATTAACATTTCAAGTTTTAACTCACTGCGGACAACAGTTTACAGGAAACCGACCCATACGGACAAGTGACTTGGTTAGACATCCTTCAGCCCGAGATCATTCATGGCCGGCCACGGGCTATCAGAACTCTAAGGAGAAGTGCAAGGCTATTTTATCACACAAAGGACAGCCTATCGAACGAAAACCAATACGGTGACCCTCTCTCTTTTTTAAGAAAAACTACAACAATCAGTACACTAGACAAAACAGACAAAGACTTATTAGGTCCGTTGTTGGTGCGTGTGTTTGATCGTACTAACCATCTCGTTATCTGCATCACGCTTTGCCGACTGAAGAATTATTTTTTATCATATCACGTCTCTCATATTTACTCAATAAAACTGATCTGTCAAGATAATACTGAATTATTGATTATTGGATTGGGGAATTAGCTAAAATGGTAGAGCGCTTGCTTTGCATGCGGGAGGTACCGGTATTCTTTTGTTTATTCCTTGGAACAAGCTTGTAAAGTGTTGACTATGAATCTCATTTAAACAAAGTTTAGCCACCCTTTAACAAAACCGCGTTCTACGCCATCTTCACCTCAGGCGAACTTTGTATCTGAACATTAGTTTTTGTGTCAAAAGGGTCAAAAGCTAATGGTGGAGGGACATTTACGCGATTAAATCAACCCTCCTATAGAGAATCCCCAAGGCCTATTTATTGCGTAAAACCACGGTTTGGGTTAGAGCTCGTGTAAATAACCGACCCCAAATGTCCAAGGAAAGGATGACCAAGCGGATACCGAGGCTTACGCTACTTTTATAACTCGCGTGTATCGTTATTAATTAACTTGCTCAAGAATTGATGAGGCGAATAAAGGCCATTTTGAAATTTTATCGAAGAACGTGTAGTTGTTCGTTGTTGTCGTTGTTCTCTTCGAACTCAGACCACCAATTAAATTTTTCCAACAATTGTCTTAAGGCACATTCAATTAATTTAATTTTCTATGGCGACGGTAAAAACCTGTATGAATATTCGATTCTATGAAAATATCTCAAGACAAAAACGGAACTTTGGCTGATGTTCTTTAAAAATTTAGAAAATTGGTATCTGTGCGTACCAAGAAACAACTCAGAACATTTATATAGGTATTCGTCGTCGCTATTGAAAATTGAATTAATTGAAGGTGATTTAAAACAAGCTGAAAGAAAAGTAATTGGATAAGAAATTTTTGGAGTCGTCTTCCTAGATATTCTCTCCTACACCTTTAGCAATAACTTGTATACAATCATGGGCAATAGGGGCCTGTCCGGGATTCGAACTCGGGACCTCTCGCACCCGAAGCGAGAATCGTGCCACTAGATCAACAGGCGAGACACAAAAATAAAATGATGACGTAAGACAAGCAGGAAATGCATAATAATTGTGACGGGTCTGAACAAAAAATAGCACAATAAATCTCCTGGAAAATGCTTCAAATTCATTTTTCATGCGTGACAAAAAAAAAATCATAATCAGATGAAATGTGTAAATTAATACTCTGAGACTATATACAATAGCTTCGAGGTTCGAGAATTTCAGGTAAACGGGGAAGCTTTTAGTCCATGGGCCAGGCCACTTTTCGGTACCAAACCGAAGGACAAAATCTAAGTGTCATCATGTGATACTACTGCCTAAGGTGTTTTTCAATTTGTATGATAACCTTTGTGGATGAGCAGCTTTGATGGAGATTTTTCGATTTAAAATTTCGCAAAAAATGGCTTCAGCATAGAAACGAGGCTCAGAATAAAATTCCTTAAATATATGGTCACGATCGTTTTATGAGATCTTTAGATAGTAAAAAAGAGGAAAAAATTTGTATTTTTTCCCTCGGAGTTGTCAGAAGTAAAAATTTGTGAAAGGATTAGACGACAAACAAGAAAAGAACCAACACTGTAATTCACATTACATCATGGGTAAATCCAAGATGGCGGCTCCCTCGACAGGTACGTAGGACTCATTTGTGCTGGAATTTTGGTTGCTTATTGAGACGTGAAAGGTTTTAAGGGGATAAATAACCAGTATGATATATGTCAGAGGGAATTCGATACAGTCATGTCAAGTCAACGGTTCTCAGAGTTCACTGTGCTTTATGACAAGTACCTGGACTATCTTCGTGGCAGTAATGGGAAGCTGTCTAGCTTCTGAATGTCTTATATTGATATGGTAGAGATTCTTCTGAATTTACTGAGAGAATCCAGAAAGGGAGATTGGGAGCTACATCCATCAGCCATTAGAAAAATGACAATCTTAACTATGCTCGTTAATTGTCGGCATATGTCTCTGAGATGTCTCACCTGGAAGAAGAACACCCAGAAGCTTTCAAATATCTAAAATCTGGAGGATGTTCAGTCCAGATAGGAGAGGACAACCCCTTTGGAAAATTTCCTGTCGTTCCAAACATGCGAAGAAAATGTAAATAAAGACACACAGACAGAAAGGGGCACCAAAGGATTAAGCCTTAAAGCAGGAGCGGTGAGCAAATACTATCTGGTTGCCGAATAACGCAGTATCTTCCTGAAGCTGATGAAGGACATGTTAGACTTGAACAAATCAATTTGCCAGCACACCGATCTCCAGAAAACCAGAATTGTAAGAGATGAGATGGATGTTAAGTCCCTGGTAGTAATGCTCCAAAGTCACTGGCTTGACCCATTCAGCAACGTGCAGCAAGATCTGGTTTGTCTCTCCACTGGAAAAGTGGCCCCTCCAAAGATACAACAAGATTTGCTTACTGCTAAAGCTGCTGGATAGAATGCATACGAAACCTTTCGTGTAAAGCAACTGGAGTAACAGCCACCTCAAACCAAGTTCCACGTCACAATCACCAAGGCAAAGCTGCAAACATTTACCGAGCTGAACAAAAAGGTGCAAGTCCGGAACAAAACGTCCAAAGAGATCATCCTGGAAGCTGATAGAAATCTATTCATCCAGATGATATTAATAGCTGAAATCAGAAAACTTCAAATGAGGGAAGTTCTAAGTCATCCACTGGGGCCCCTTCCCTGGGCGTTGTCCACTGCTGATGGATCATCATGAAGAAAAACAAACAGATAGCTTTTGCAAAAGAACTGCAATAAAATGTTCCAGCCGCAGAAGTGATCCCGCAATCATCAGCATGTGTAATATATGCTTTGGCCCTCGTACAGAGACTCAAAGGAGACCACAAGACGTTTGCCGAGGTGGCCGATTCTCTACTAGGCTTGGCCATGCACTAATGGTCTAACTCAAGGAGAATAGATGTTATATTTAATGTATACAAAGAAACCTCCATCAAAAATGCAGAAAATGAGAAGGAGGGAGCAGAATTTGGCGATGAATTTAGAAACATTCAATCCGAACACAAAGTGCAGCAGTGGAGAAAATCCCTTTTGAATCCAAAGAATAAAAAGGCCTTCGCAGATTTGTGGTAAAGGAGTGGAGACGGGATAGATACGGGATAAAGTTGACAGGCAATGTAGAAGATACAGACGTATTCTTACTTTGCCTGGCGCAAGTGCTTTATTCCGGCATCCACGTATGTCAAGTGTGGAACGCAGACAAGAACTAAATATGTTAGTATCTCCAGTTTGGTGGGAGCCGTAGGAGGAAAACTTTGCAAATGCCTAATTGGCATGCATGGTTTCACTGGTTGTGATAATGTGAGTGCATTCGCTGGAAGGGGAGAGATAACAGCCCTACGACTTGTCAAGCAGCAGAAGTCCTACGAAGAATTTTTTAAGCAGCTAGGGATGGAATGGGTTCTTTCGAATGAGCTATTTCAGAGCCTCCAAGAGTTTACATGTAAGCTCTACTGCTCTCAACCAGGCACTGATAACATCAATGAGATGAGGTACAGGTTATTCTGCGCCAAGAAGGGTAACATCGACTCCACCCAGTTACCACCACATGCTGACTGCTTGCTCAAGCATGCTTCTCGAGAAAACTTCCAAGCAGTCATTTGGAAGCGAAGTCTGCAACGCTGCCCTTTGACACCCACGCCCAGCGGTTCTGGCTGGCGGGAAGGCGGCGATAACTTTGCCATGACTGGATGAGCGGTGACCCAGCCCCTACAGCCGTGCTAGAGCTACTGTCCTGCTCATGTGCAAGGTCCTGTCAACTTCCTACCTACTGTTGCCTAGAAAATGGTTTGAAGTGTACCGATGTGTGGAAGCTTTTAGACTATGGCAACAGATGTGAAGATTCTATCGAGGAGGTTGTCTCAGATGATAGCGACAAAGACGAGGAAATCTAACTTAAAGTTTTAATGTAACTTTGCACATGTACCGGGCATTCTCTTATATTCTGAATAATTTTTTCATATTTAACATTTGGCAAGTGATGTCATGGAAACCATCCAGGAACAACTTCTATAAGTTAAATATATGTTTGTGACATTAACTCTGAAAGCAAAGTTTGGGATTTTCAGTGACTAAAAACCAGTGTATGTAACATTTGACTGTATTTGCATTTGCTAGTAATTGACTGTAAGGAGTAGTAGTCACATTTGCACCAATTCTATCTGTTCAGCCAAACCGAATCAATCATTTGAACCCGTGATAAGCCTGGTATAGCTACTCGTTTGGCATAGTTATCATGGTTATTATATATCAAAATAAACTGGAGGAATCATTGTTGTGTAAAATGAGCGTTATAATGTAATTAATGCAATTTACTCCAGCAATTTCCCTTTTTTTTTCTATTTTCCAAATAATTATTCATGTTTGTAATTTGGCAAGTGTTGCCATGGAAACCATTCAGGGGCAATACCTGTAAGTCATACATACGTCGTTGGAAATTAACTCTGAAACAACTTTTGAGATTTTTAATAACTAAAAATCAATGTTTGAAACGTTTTCAGGTTTCCATTTGACTGTTAATAACTATCTTCGTACCAAGTCTGCCTATTAAGCCGAACTGAGTGACGTCATTTAATCACGTGATAATCCTGATAAAGCTACTCAATTGGCATGGTTATCATATACCAAAATAAACTAGAGAAATCAATGTTGTTAAAAATGAGGGTTAGAATTTGTCCCTCTTTTTGGTACCAAATGCCCCTTTTCAGGGTCCTGGCCTATGGACTATTTGATATTGCAAGAGCCACTGTTGTATTCAGTCGCTTTCCCTAGGCCATCTAACGTCGACCTTGCTCTTTCCTTCCCTGTACGACCTGCTTACAAGAAAACAAATTAATATTCCTTCGCTATGATTTTACATTCTAATTTTGTTTGAGGTGGCTTTGAAGAGCAGCTGACACCATTTCTGCGAATCTCGGCAAATAATCGCGACATAGAGGTTCACAAAGTGATATGAAACTCCTAGATTTTGCTGCGGAAACGCAAAAAGTGTTCATGGGTGGTGGTGGATGCAGAAAAGATTTCATTCCAAATCATGACCTCAGGTCATCTGCTGTGTTTGCACAATCATATAGAAAACTTTCCTAACCAACTCGCATTGGTAAGTATTCCAACCTCCAGATTGTCAATTGTTTACCATCTACCATTTCTCGTGTGCAAGGTCCGTTAGCTCAGTCGGTAGAGCGTGGTGCTGATAACGCCAAGGTCGTGAGTTCGATCCTCACACGGACCAGAGAATACTCTTTTGTTTCAATAAAGCCATCTGAACAAAAGACTAATTTGTTACTGACTTTCCATTTCATCTAGGTGTCTGTATTTAATCTGGTGATAACTTTTCAAAATGTATTGGCTTGTTAATCTTCAACAACAGGGGTATTCGTACACCTACGAATTCTTTGTGGGGACGTGCAAACAAGTTTTTCAAAAACCTGATCCTAGTTTGGACCAAACGTTTCTTTTCCTAAACTTATTTTCATGCCCTCCCTCTACTTGTTTCAGATCTGGCCGATGTTAAAATTTGGTGAAATACACTCAAAAGATCAGCTTGAATGACACAGTTGGGTCTTTTCTCTTCCTCTTTTATTCATTTGGAGAAAAAAGAACAATTACGTTGATACGTTTTGATCTTTTAATAAGGTTCAGGGTTTAGGGCTAAGGTACGTCCCACGTACCACAATACGAAAACCTTCGCTGTCCAACAGTGATTTTTCAGTGCCTATTGGAGAAATATCTTTAATATGCTACTTTACTCTGATTCTCAAAGGCATGTCTGTATCGATGATTTTTTGTGGAGAGTTTGGTTTGATCCTCGAGTGGAGTTCCAATGGAGGCTGTTTCCAACAGCACCTCAAGTTAATCTAATAAAACTACTCTTAGCTAACGCAGTTTACTTGACGTGAATATCGTGGCGCATATGTTTCTCCTGTTTGCACTTCAAATTTTTCTAAAAATATACTAGTTTTTCAATGTAGAATATAGACAATTATTAATTTTTTTATGTTTTCCATCTATTACTTTATCTGTTTAACTAGTTTGATAAGATTAATAACTATTCGTAGTTAAGGTTTCTGTAGTGTATGGTGATCACGTCCGCTTCACACGCGGAAAGTCACAGGCCCTGCGAGAGACTCAAGTGATCTTTAGTCACTATTGCGATCGCTATCACATACTACTTGCTTAATACATACAAACCCAAATAATTATGTTTTTAAACACCCTTGTTTTCATAAGAACATTGGAGGTTGGACTTACCGTTTCGAGTTGGTTAGGAAAGTTTTCTGTATGTTTGTGCAAACACTGCAGATGACATTAATTGAATGTGCCTAGTCTGAGTTCGAAGAGAACAACGCGTTCTTAAACACAATTTCAAAATGGTCTCTATCCTCCTCATCAATTCTCGAGCAAGTTAATTAATAGCGATACACGCGAGTTATAGAAGTAGCGAAAGCCTCAGTATCCACTTGGTCATCCTTTCTTCGGACATTTGGGGTCGGTTAAATACACGAGTTCTAACCCAAACCGCGGTTTTACGCAGTCAGTAGGCCTCAGGGATGCTCTATAAGAGGATTGATTTAATTGAATAAATGTCCCTCCACTATCAGCTTTCGGCCCTTTTGATACAAAAACAAATGTTCAGATATAAGGTTTGGCTGAGGTGAAGGTGGCTTAGAACGCGGTGTTGTTAAACAGTGGCTAAACTTCGTTTAAATAACCAGATGCTGAAGTTTACAAAAGAGATACTTAGTCAACACTTTATAAGGCAAGATTTTTCCAAAGAACAAACAAAAGACTAAGCGCACCAATTGGAGAATCCGGGTATCGATCCCGGTACCTCCTGCATGCAAAGCGGGCGCTCTACCATTTGTGCTAATTCCCCAATCCGATATATAGCTCCGTTTAGAATCAATAATTTACTATTATCTTTACAGATCAGTTTTACTGAGCAAATATGAGAGACGTAATATGATGAAAAATAATTATTCAGTGGGCAAAGCTTGGTGCAGATAAAGAGATGGTTAGTACGATCAAACAAACGCACCGACAACGGACCTAGTGGGTCTTTGTCTGTTTTGTCGAGTGTAGTCGTTTTTGTAGTTTTTCTTAAAAAAAAAGAGAGAGGGCCAATGTCTGTTTTCGTTAGATAAGCTGTCCTTCGTGAAATAAAATAGCTTTGCACGTTTCGTCAGAGTTCTGATGGCCCGTGGCCGGCCACTAATGATGTAGGGCTGAGGGATGTCTAGCTGAGTCACTTGTCCGTATGGGTCGGTTTCCTGTAAACTGTTGTCCGCAGTCAGTTAAAAACTTGAAATGTTAATAAAATATCTACAGAAACAGTGGTAAACCATGTGATAAACGGGTTGGGGAATTAGCTCAAATCGTGGAGCGCCCGCTTAGCATATGGGCGGTACCAGGATGGATGCCTGGATTCTCTATTAAAGAATTTTAGTGTGCAGACACAGGCAATTTCCACAATTGTTGAAAGGCGACATGTAGAAAATCAAAATGACAAATTACACTTGAACAGAACCGATCAACAGTCATCTATTGCTGTCCTGTGATGTAAAGATGGAGTTTTTCGTTGGATTATTTTTGTAACCTTTATAAACCTTCATCAGAGTGTTATGAATGTTCGCTGTAAAGTACTTTAACGTGTTTGATTATTGTGAAAGCTGTATGGAGAACGAGTGCCTATTTATAGAATTTCACATTTGCTCTGAAAAAAGGGGCAACTTGGTGAGTTGGAATGCAGCTAATCGTCGATAATCCAAAACAATAGCTGATGAAGATTTAAAATTAGACGAATCTCGCCGCAATTTTCCCCACACTCCTAACTTGAGCGATGTAGTAAAAAACAGAAAATATGTATCGTGAATATCATATTTTGCTTCGCTCCAAAACAGGCTACTCCATTTGCAAGAAACAAAGCCAAAACTCTTTGTTCTTCGGATGAAAGAGCTTCCAAGGAAGGACTAAAGCGCGGCATCAAGATAAATGCAAGAGATCAACGTCTTACACGGATGTTTGATATCCACTACCATCAAAGAAAATACAAATGAAGAACTAAAGTACGGACTTTTCGTGTAAAAGAGCTCTATCGGAATGGAACGCCTCTATCCCAACGAAAGGGCAATTGGAATAGATTGTGCATACTATCAGACGACAACAGAGAAAGTGGAATAGACTACTAACGTGGAAGACCGGTAAGGAGCGATCATTTGACTACACACCTGCCACCTGCTACGCGTAAAAAAAGCTAATAGTTTTTTTAGAGTTTTCACATTACCTGGCCTGTTGGTCCAGTGGCATGATTCTCGCGAGATGTCCCGGGTTCTACTCCCGGACAGGCCCGTTTTGTCGTGGAATATGATGTGAGGAGAGTTCCCACATTTAAGTTTAAGACGAAGGAAAGACAAATCAGACAGAATAACTTCAAACCCGTGGTCACACTCCGACAAGAAGTTGTTGCATTACAAACTTTTCAACGTTTTTTAAAATGATGCTAATGCAATTCAATAGTTGTCATAGGCAGTGGTAAAAACGTAAATAAAGGTTTTTTTGTGTGGATATAATGATGTGCAGACACAGAAATTTCGACAATTGTTGGAAGGTGACATGTAGAAATTCAAGATGACAAATTACACTTGAACAGTACCGATCAATAGTGGTCAATTGCTGTTCTGTAGTTTGTTGATCTGAAGTCTGCACGAGCATAAAAAAAACGTTCAGACTGACTTGCGAACCGGTAAGTGTTTCTTAATTAGTTTTACCTCCGTCTCAACATAATCAGAAAGGAGAAGGTTCTCATGAAAAGAAGAGTATCAAAAAACTGAAATTTGATTTATTGAATTTGGTTATTAATTGTTCTCACAAGGAAGAATAAATAATGGACAAAAAG